TTCCTGCTGTTCTATAAAATTCATCGAACCATGGAATATTGTGAGTGGGAAGAGATCCATACAAATCATCAAGTCCAACTAGTGACTCCACTCATTTGCAACCTAAATGTTAAATCTTGTCCAAACACTTTTTTCTTGTAAAAGAGAGATGGAAGAAATTTAAAGTTTTGTAGGCTGTCGACTGATGAAAAACAAGTTTGACTTACCATGACTAAACCCCTAAGTAATTCTAACTATTCATGAGAAATAATTGGAAAAATCTATAATTATGTCAGAATTAATTTTAATCCTCAACTTAGCACCAAGGAAAACTAACTGATGACAAAACTATTAACCTGAAGAACACACACTTGCTTTGCCTTCAGGTTTGCTGTTTTTTTTTAAGATCAGAATTAAATGTGTAGGAAGATACACATCTTTTACAGTAGTTTGTGATTGCACAAATGAATCTCACTTGCATCACTCATCACCAGCATTTCTGAAGAAAAAATCACATTCCTCTTCTGCTAGATACTACAACATTCTGCTTCTGATACTTCACCTTCTGTGATAACTAGACTGTTCCAACACTTCACATCCCTTCCTCAAAATGTGCTGCTGTTTTTTTCTCCTGTGACATTATCATCAAAAGAGTAAACTTCAGTCAAGGAATGAGATACATGCTAACTTCATAAGAGGGCAGCACAAATCTTTCCTATCAACATCAGCAATTGTCATCCAATCTACTCAAATCATACCTACCAATGAGCCATATAATCAGAAGGTAGTCTATTCTCTCGAGGGCTGGTCCCATTGTATTCTTTTTATTCTCATTGTAGACAAGGGAGTACAAATTAAGTAACAGCAGAAACGTGAAATATGAAGCTCCATGAATAATAAACTTCATAAAAGGAGTGTGAATCATTCTACCTACTCGAGATTTAGGGGCTAACAAGTAACACAAGGACAGAACTGGCCAGAAAATGCCAACCATCAAAACAGTCAAAATTTTCTTGCATGTGTGCTTGCGCCGATAGCCTGCCATCTGTCCAAACCATACTGTGTTTAGGAACTGCTGACAGTTAGACTGAGCAACAAACTGGGGGGGGAGAAAAAGAAACAAACAAGGAATCAGTCTCAGGTTTCTTAATACTGATTACTAATTTACATTATTAAAATTCATTTTCAAACTCCACATTACCAATGAACAAGTGAAAGCAATAATATTAAGCGGAAATTATTAGCTCATAAGAGAACAATATCTGAAATACATTAATATGCCTCTTTAATGTGTAACAGAAATGTGTGATGCTGTTCTAGGACATCCCATAACTGTGGCTTATGACAGTTAAACACTATGCATTTTAACAACTTCACAAACAGTGCAAAACAGACAGTACTGCAAATCCTGCAAATGCTAACTGAAAATGGACTTTGCATGGAAGGGAAACATTCTCTCTCCAGTTCTTGTACTAGAATCCTACAAATATCCATGTGCCTTCTAGTACCACAAAACTAGAGTTATAAATTGTTAAGGGATGAAGACAACAATGACATACTGAATCAATAAGTTTCCATGCTGCTGGCATAAAAACAAAAGGTGCTCCTGTTCTGGAACAGAGGTGCTATTCAGTTCTACCAGCATAGGTCTAACATAATTCTGAACAGCACAGAGGATGCCTAAAGTAAAGTTGAACAGCTAATGACAAGTGATAAGATAAATCATTCATCACACCTAAGAATCTATGCTTCCCTAGGCAAGGATTTAATGAGGATGTGAATAAATAATTACGAGTGCCAGAGCTGTTCATAAAAGCATGGTAATCTATGCTTCAATACAGAAAATAATACTTTCTTCTCCACAGTAAATACTGAAGAAAGACTTAATATATTTCAATATCATTTCCCCGTTTCACATGTACATATTCTGTGTATTGTCACCTCTTCTGTAACACTTGCAAATTTATTTTCACTTTTATGTCTACAGGCAGAACAATAAATTAATTGCTAGCCAAGTACAATATGAAAAGCCTATCAAATTACTGCAAACACAAACCTCTTTTTGATTATACTTGATGGCGAGTTTTAAGCGACTTAAGTTCATCCTCTCTTCCAACAATCCTCGCTTGTCTACATGTTCATCACTGGATGTGTGATTCAGAATAACTTCCAGCTCCCGTGAATTCCGTGCCTGTGCAAGCAAATCTTTAGCAAAGGTTTTGCACTGTTGAGCTAGCTCCTCATAATCATTTCTACAAGACACAGAAACAGCACACAGAATTACACGGCTCTCATATTTTCCATTAAATCACTGACTATGCATTTTTGGTTGATATTGTATGTTATGCTAAGACAAATTTAAAAAACCCAACCCAAAAATCATGTAGAGATCCAAGGATTCTGAAGACAACCATGGGTAGGTTTTGCCATTTAACATTACAATCATAGCCTAGTCTCCACTAGGCAAAGAAAAACTTAGAAACAGACTTACACTACACAGTAAGTTCTACGTAAACAGTTAAAGCTTAGAATTACCTGCAGAAGATAAGAAAAATGCAGTAGTCACAAGTAGGACAGTGGTAGTGGTAATTAATAATTTGGACCTTCTAGTTGGAAGTTGTTTTGGGTTTTGCTTTTATTAATATAATCTGAAAATTAAAGTCTATTCACTGAATATTATTTATTAATACAATAAACACAGGAAGAAATTACACTACTCATTCGTCTCACCTGGCACACAGTCCATTGTAGGGCCAAGCTGTATCACAGAAATGCAAGACTTGAACTCTTATTAAGAAAGACAGCTACTATAACTGAAAACCTCTATGTTGTTTAGGAAAGCAGAATTTTACCTCGTACCCATTTGTTTTCATGTTCTCATAAAAATACATGCTTTTATACTGCTAAGTTTCAAAATGGTAGAAACCTGCATAGTTTAAACATAAAATTATACTGAGATTTTGCTCATTATATAGACAGGCATTTTCAGCATGATATCTACACACATATTCATATTATACACACACACATGCTGTTCAGTCTTGTAATACAAGGAGCAAATTTAAGAAACAATACCCAGAACAACTCCCAGCATGAGTCAGGTCAGTATAAACAAGGCATTGCATACCTTGATGCAGGAGGAAAAAAAAGTGCAAAATATCAACAAAATATCAATGTGATTAACAGGTGTGATCTTGAATTACGTCAGAATTTAGCATAATTTCTATTTATTTTTTCCAGAGTAGAGCTGAAATTCAAACAGTTGGTGCAACTATACACATTGAACTGTCTACACCTAAAAGGTTTTACACTAATTAAACTGTCAAAATGACTGCTAATAAGACATAAATTATATAACTTGTTATTATGTCTAATCACCAGTTTAAACACTCTGATTACAAAAAGAATAAACCTCTTCTGATGAATACACATTTCTGTACATGTAATTTAATAGAAATATAGAAATTGGTTTATGTTTTCAATTCCTACCTGAATTCAACCTCAACAAGGCTTAATTCCTTCAAGTCTGCACTAAGTTCAAAAGCTCGCAGGATCGGATCCTCCTCTGTCAACATGATTAAAGCAGGGCTGGCCAAACACCGGTAAATGTCAAGACGAAACCTGTAACAAAAGATGAGCAAGCAAAACGAAGAAGTTTCATCTGATTAGCAGTTTCAAATCAGAGCGTACCCCAGAAGTTTGCATAGAACAGTCAGCTGTTTTATGACAAAACAACTGGGTCTCTTAAACACTACTAGCATTTAATGTGATGTCACAGAAGACACTGTCCTTACCATACCTAGAAACACTGCTCTTCTAAGTACCAAAAACTGGCCAAGCCGGTACCCTCTTCTTTTCCTCACTAATTCAACTGTAACCAGTGAATCAGCAGAAGGCCATCGATTAAGGGAACAATATTGGTAAAAGTTGTTGTCTTATGTGTTATACAGTAGCTCTTAGGGTTCTTCAAGTAGAAATAGGAGGGAAGAATTTAAGGTAATCTTCTTTACCAACTAAATTAAAAACAGTGGGGAGCCTTAATGTGCCATAAAAGAAGGAAAAAATCAGGGAAAGCATTTTAAGGGTTGTTTTCCTCTTGCAGAACTAGTGACTCCTCAACACTGAAAGCAAATCTGTTACCAATTCTAGTTTAAACTAAGAGCTGTTATCTCAAAAGATTTTATTGTCCGTTTCCTGGGGATACCCTCACACCTCTTCTCATACTGAAGTTAATGACATGGGATATCAGATGGATATTGCCATTGCAGGTACCAGAACGCAGCCTGCTGCAACTGGATACCACTAACAGTTACTATTTCAGTTCCCTTATTGCTTAGTAACATGGATACACACCGAAGTAATTATGTAACAACTGTATATTGTAACTGTAGTCCACTTATGGTTGTTCAGCTCTACTATTTTTCATTGCAATTCTGTCATATTCAATTATATTCAACCCTCAAATATGTTGTCAACCTAACCAGACAAAATCTGAAGATGCGTACATCCCAATCATCATTTTTAACCTTTACTAAAAAGCTTTCTACTTTCAAAAACACTGAAAAAAAAAATTTAGTCTGCATCCATTGATCTATGCCACATAATCACTTCTAGAAACAGAATTATCCACCTCCTCATTCTGGCTCAAAAACCCCAAGTATTAACTAACTTATGAAAAATTTTACTTGCATAGTTTCTATGCTCCCAAACCAAAGATAGCTAGAGTGTTTGTGACACAGTTGGTAGAATGGAAAGGCACTTAGCTTAATGATCATAGTGATTAAGAGCATAAAAACAAAATGAAAAAAGAAGAAAAAAAAAAAGCCACTGCCTCCCACCAGCCTTTCAAGAACCACCAGCTCTCACACTGAAAGCTGCAATGCATTAAAGAAACCTGCTCATAAACCTCACCTCAACGAGAAAATGGGAATACACTGAATCTGACCCAAGCGACACAAGAGAATTAAGATTGTTTTCATTATCTTCTACAACTGGCAAGTCTTACCTGGAATGTCGAAGACTATCTTTTTTGTTCTTTGCAGTACACAGTGTGCATTCACAGCCTACAGCATGAGGCTTTGGTAATGAGATGTCTTGCTTTAACAGCATGGTGAGAATTTCATAGTTGTTACGATGAGCAGCTAAAATGACAGGTGCCACATCCATGGTTGTTGAGTACTCTGGGTTCTGAATGCGTTCCATTAGTTTCTGGAACAAAATGTAGGAAGTTTCTAAATTTATTACACAAAGTTTAGGACAGCATTTACCTGTAAGGGGTTTTTTTGACCGTTAAACAACAAATCTCTCCTTCAAATTATTTCCGTATGTTTCATAACACAAAAATGAGAAAAAAAAACCAAAAACATTCAAACACCTCTCAGATAAATATTGGGGGGAAAATGGAGAGGTTTCTGATTTATTTACATAGAAAACCTGACATTCAGTGTCTATCTTCTCCAGTATACATGCATGGTATTAAAAAATGTATTTTGCTCTAGTTTGAGAAAAAATTATTAGTATATTTACTATCTAAATGGAGGAAAAATATTCTGACTCTACCATATTTTCTTACACAACACCTCAATCCTTCCCTTAGTCCACCTCTACTTGTGAACTTTCACCAGTTTTTTAATAGTTGAGCATTGCCAAGATAAGCTTCAACTGGTTACTTTCAAGGTGAAGACTTGATGTTTACAGATTGCTTGAAAAATCTACAAAGCTTCAAATATAGCTTCCCGTTACAGGTCAAGGCTGCTAATTACCTTGGAAACTGTCTACAAAAAAAGATTTATAACCATGCTATTCCCCCCACCACCCTCTTCTGGACTAACTAGACATCTGTTAGCTTTTGGCACACGAAAAGCCACTGGATTCCTTAGACAATAAAGCAAAAGAACGTATTCTATCCTTTAAGACAAAAGAGACTAGAAAAATAATCCCTAATGTCCAGATTCTATCAGCCTAGATAGGCAGAATTTCATCATCGGACATTGTTTTAAATACTGTGGTTACCCAGAACACTATCATATGGCCATTCACTCCCCAGCCAAAAATCCAGAAAGAACACTCAACTACAATGGTTGGTCTGGAGGATCTTTTTGGTCGGTGATTAAGTAGGATGTCAACAGCTCCCACCACTTCCGAGTCAATAGCGACCAGAAGTGCATCTGATGACTAAGGAAAGAAAACAAGTCATATGTGAAAACATAAGTAACTTAAACAATGTAAGAAGTAAATCTGAATATAAAGTGTCTTTTTATTATTAACTACCACAACAATGTTTTGTATTATCACTACACAAACGATCAGGATACAAATTCAGGTTGTCTTTCCAGGACTTAGTGTAGCATTACTGATTATTTGCTTCACTGCACAAATGATAGAACCAACTTCAGAAATTACTTTCCAGCAAAGACGATGGAGGATACTTGCAAAAATGAAGTTCTAAGGGACAGTTTAACAGATTATTAGAAAAGTTAAAAGCACGAGCCTGTGTAACACAACTCAGGCACAGGTAAAGTTTAACAAGCATTGTAGAATCACATGCTTGCCTTAATTTGAAACAATCTAATATAATGTGCGTTTTTCTAACTGTACTGCCATTTATAAAGTTGCTGCATTCCATGGCCAAAGAGATCCCTGCATTCTACACTTTTTAATATGATGCCCGGAGAGTATATACTGTTTATTTTACTCAAAGATAAAGTATGTGTTCTCTGTGCAAGAAGAATACCATTTAAAATAAATTCAGATTTGTTAATTGAAAATGTCACTATGCATTTGACATCCCAAAAATATCCCACTAGAAAAGTAAATTAGTGAGACAAAAACGCTTTTAGAATTACTAAACAGAAAAATAATTAATCTGCCTATAAAGACAGATTCTATTTCCTTCCAAATTCTGACAGATTAATAGAGAAGATATATAAAGAGAAGAAAACACATATCACTGACTATGCTAAAACTTTTCAATAACTTATGTATTCTATACCTGGCAGCCATAATCCAAAAGAAGCTGTAGTATGTCCAAGTTTTCATTTTCAATCGTTATGGTAACAGCATTTCTTCCAAGCACATCCACACAATTTATGTTCATTTCACCCGAGCTGTTTTCCTCTAAGAGTTTCTTAACCATGTAATAGTCACCTGCACAAGTAACACATGAATGTCACTAAATATTATTTTAAAGAAAGCATGTGAAAATTTCAAGTACCAGCTACCATCAAACAAGACAAAATTCCACAGCTAACATAAAATATGTGAGACAATTAAGAAGGCAAGGTAGATAAGCATTCTCTCATCAAGGAGGAAACTGAAAACATCTCAGGAGATCTCTTTCAGGAAAGTACTAAGACATGCACTGTCCACCCCTTTAGTTCAATCCTAAAAACACACAAACACAAAAACAAGGGTACTTTTCAAAACTGGGACAAAAGCTCACACATAACCTGTAAGACCCAGGAAACATGAAGATCAAGTACATCAGAGAAGGTTTCTCAGCTCAAAAAAGCTATAGGCTCAGAAAAGCCCTCCCTGCAATGCTCAAACATATTTGCATCTTCCTTGAGAAGAAGCCACAGTAGTCCTCCCTGTATCACCACAATTTTAGCATAGATGTACCATCAAAGCAAGTCTGATATAATACTACAATGTTATAAAATTCAAGCTAGCAAGTTTGATGAGCAAGTAAAGCTCCCTACAGTAGGGTGTAGTTAAGCTGCAGTTTCCACTCTGACTGAAGTACAGACACATCAGCCCGCCCTGCTTACTATTATTCTGTTCAATTGATTCTTCTTGCCAAAGTTAAAATATTTGAGTTATTTTTGTCTCTAGGGTAACAGATGAATTTACCACATAGAAGACCACAAGAAAGACAAACCTTAGTGTAGAACACTTACAGAAGCATACATACAATAACTGTATGTGTAGCAAAATATATACAGAGCCTACAGGAGTACCAAACAAGTACTGGGCATCTACTTCGCGACAGAGCTGTGGCTTCAGCACAGAGCGGAGCAGCAGCACGGGGTAGCAGCGCAGGCAGCCCGGCTCCCCCAGCAGGCACCGCAGCCCAGGGAGCAGCGGGACAAGCCTGTCTCACCTCCCCGCCAACACAGCGCAGGACACGGGCAGTTCTGCCTGGAAACTGCCTGTCCGAGAGCGCTCAGCACCCTGTTAAAAGCCTATCTCCGAGCTGAACGCTTCCGACATGTTAAGATCAGTTTGATTTAAGACCGTTTCTATTTAAGGCTAACTAAATATACGCTCAAAGTAAACAGCATATTTTCAACACGAAAAATCTCTTCCTGTGCACCACCACGGGCGCAAATCCCAGGGAACGAGACTTGCTCGTTCTGGGGATGTCTAGGTAAGTCCCCGCTTTTACAACTATATACTCACAGACTCTTAATCCCTTGAACACAGCCCATATTGTACGAACTCCTCCGGCACGAAGGGACTCCCTCACACCCACAGGAGCTGGACCAACGCCCCGCGGGTACCGGGAGGCGGCGAGGCCGGAGCCGGGCGGCTCCTCAGCCACCGGGGAGGCCAGCCCGGCCCCGGCGGGACGCGGGGAGGCCGCGCTGGTTACCCCCCGGCCCCTGCTGGTTAGTTACCCCCAACCCTGCCCAAACCGCCAGGCGCAGGCGGGTTTGGGCCCTCGGAGCGAGCGGC